GCGCCCCCCAAACCGCCCCAACCCCCCCAGCCCCCCCCCCCCCCTCCCCCCCCCCACACTCCACACAGGGCGCCTCGCCGAAAAACAGCATCGTTCGCCAAACTGATTGTTTATTACAATTTTCATTGTTGTTTCTAAAGTATGTTCTTCTTGCTCCTTTTGCTGTTCTTATCATGACACGGTGTAAACAATTATTATTAATAGGATTATTTTTAATGTCTCTCTTTCCCTTTCTCCAATATGAAGGATGTATGAACGTTGTATTCATTAGGCTTTGAGAGCTTGCGAAGGGAGCGTTTCTTGGCAGGAGCTGCAGAAACCCGGATGCCCGCAGGCTATGTGGCTAAAGCGATCTGGCTGGCAACACATTCGGAGCCGGAAAAAGTCCCATTGTTCAAACAGGGATGGAAGAGAACCTGGATCTTACACAAAAAAACGCTATAGTCAAATGTGTAGCACACATGCAAAAAAAGTGCTCTGGAATTCCTGCTTATTAGCTCTAAAACATATCTCGGGTCTCTGATCGGATTCTCTCTCGTGGGCACAAACCTTTCCTCTTATTTAGCAGAAATGTCAAGAAAGTCCGTGAATTTGAAATCCAGGTTGAAGTTGCACAAGCTCTAAGTGTATTGCGGTTTTGTCAAGTTAGAATGTTAAAGGCTTAATGACCAACGTGGACGTTTACCAGAATGTCTCGTGACCCACGAGGGGACATACTCTAAATGCTCAAATGTTTGTTTGCACTTAAAACGTTTTGTACGGAGCTGGCCTGCCCCCGTTCTCACCCAACACTCGTTTGAACCCAGTCAAGCTGTTTTATCGTCTCGTGTTTCACCAAAACGCTGAACAAATACTGTAGGTACCAAAGGGGAGAAGGTGCCTATTTCGTGGATAGTACGAACATAAAGGCGTCATCTCTTCCAACAGTTTATAGCTTAAAAAAAAGACACGATGCAGTAAAAAAAAAAAACTGTATGAAGGGCACCAACATTCGTTCCTCCGGGGCCTCCAGTCTGCACAGTTTTGTTGAGAGTAGCTCACAGTACCTCCAGACAAAGTTTGAGAAGCAAAGTCTCTGCTTGTTTCAATATTGTCACTTCTAAGCCCAGATTACTCCGACGGTTCTTCACATATGGCAGAACCCGACGTGAACCGTACTCCCGGCGTCGGCGCCTCCTTCACAAAGAGGCGAGTGGGCGGCATTTACTCTCTCCCGCTCCCATTCTCTCGGCCTCATTCTCAAACATTTCTGGATCAAAGACAGAAATACAAGAAAGGCCAAGTTTTCATGCTTTATATTTGTGTGTAACTTACAGATGCTGTTTCTTCCATTTTGAAAGACTGATAAAAAAGAGAAGTCCATTCTGATCTTTGTGAGCGCTGGCGTTTGTTTGAGTTAAACTGGGGTTGTTTTTAAAAAAAACACTAGTTGTTCATTAAAAATGGGCGGTAGTTCCTCCGACCACGCTGTCCTAATATCTGCTCTCTCCGGATGGCCGCTGATTGAACAGGCCTGTTGAGTGGATAAAGATGAGCTCGGTGCATGTGCAGCTCCCAGTCCGGAGCCCCCCCCATCCCCCCGGGGGTCTCGTTCACAATCAAGCCCGTCTTTGTTCTGACCTGCCGGTGGCCTGCGCCTTTGCATCCAGTCGCCTCAAAGGGAATGGTCAACCAGGCCTTTTCATGTGCCGAGGCATGTTGGGCTCTTCACAGCGCTCCTCGCCCCCTCCCTTCTTTCGTCTCCCTGAAGGCTCCCAGCTCAGCGGTGCCAGTAGAAACTCGGGTTGCACCCCCCCCTGCTCCAACGCCCCCCGCTGCTGTGTCATCCCCATGCCCTGGTCTTTCAACAGAAAAAAAAAGCCCACACAGTGGACCACACACTGCAACAGACCCAAACTGATGAGTCAAAGTTACTGCACAGCCAGGCGACTTGACTCTGCTGCTGGTCTTTGATGCAGTCGGTATGAGGTGTGGAAATTCCTCTGGGTTGGTTCTTGAGCAAACAGGGGTTAGAAAATAAAAATAAATCTGCGTTGTGCTACAACCATACGTATGCAACTATTACCTTTTTTTTCAGGGAGGAAGGAAGGAAGGCGTAGTTTCTGACTGATGTTGCAATTGGAGATCACAGACTGGACGTTAATGGGGGTCACGCACATTAGAATAAAAACCTGAACGGCCGTTCACACCTATGCGTAAAGTGATAAAAAGGAACAAAATTTGCAGCTTTGGGCTTCTGTCTGCAATAAGCAAACCTGGGACGCCACGTCTCGACTCGGCCTTTTAAGCGAAAGGTTAGGTACAAAACGTCAGGACTGGGAACTTCATAGGCATGTCCACACATGCCCCCACCCCCTCTTCAGAGAAAGTGCTGGTCAGCGTTTCGGCCAGCTCACACAAGGCATTCACTCCACCTCTGAGGCGGGTCAGCTGTACAGTTATTGTATATTGAATTACCAGGACTCGGGGTTTTACTGCACCCTCGTGTTTTTAAGAGACCTCTTAGTCCTCCTCACGTAAAAAAAAAGAATTCAAAGCGTTGCATTGTGTACATATGGATTCAAACGTTTCAAAAGGGTATAATAAGGTGCAAATGTATATTATTTAAAGTGTTTAAAAACAATTAGATTGTGGTATTAAAGGGCATGTGTTCATTTGCAGTGTCTCCATTTGACTTTTCTTGCATATTTGCGATAATAAAAGGATGTACTGATGTATATCTGACGTGCGTCTCATTGCTCTATCAGGCAACAGCTCGCTCTTGCTTCTGCTATTACTATTCTTTTACGAAGCGGCAAGGTCGTCCACAGGGCTGACTCCGGATCAGCGGTCCGCGGCTCCGGAGGGACTGAGGAACAGGCCGAGGTCTTGAAAAAAAACCAATACGCTCCCAAACTCCAACATTTTGCACCGAGTTAAACAGTTTGGTCTTTTCAAAAATGCTTCTACTTAATTAGCAGCAGAAACCTAGAGGGACTTTTCATAGTTGAGCAGCAGCGCTTGACTCAGTTTGTACTTAGCATGTGCGATGTTAGAAATGGAAATGAAGCTGAATTAGTGGTTGACTTTAGTAAAATGTTCCTGCAAAAAAAACAAAAACACAGCATCTTATTTTTCCTTCTAAAGAGTAAGGAATGAAGGGAGGGAAACATATTGCCGGGTTATTGAGTCATTTTAGAGTGAAATTTACATATCTTTTAATTCCTGTTAAGACTCCAGTCGTGCAGGAATATTCATGTGCGCTGTATGCTGTCAGAGTAAAACAAAGAAACAAATTGACAAAGTCAGTATCTGCTCAGTTTAGTAAACAGCGTATTTATTCCTTTACAAAATAGGTACAAATACATAAGTATTGTTTTTTTTCACACAAACAGAAAATTTTCAAGATATGTACAAGAGTTTACCAAAAATAACGTGGTTCTAATAAACACATAGTTCTGTAAACAATATTTACAAATCACCCTTACATTGAAATGCCATTTTCCCCGTCTGTTTACATCAGTAATATTGTCCTAATATTTTGGCTAAAAAGCTATAGTAGTAGAAATGTCCTCCTCTGAAACCATAAAAATCACTGATAAAATCATTTGAAATCACTGCAATAGATATTGTTGTGCTTGTTTTTAAAACATGGTGTTTGGAGATAACATTTATGAAAATGTGTAAAGCATAAAAGCCAATCCCAAAATAAAACAAAATAAAATGTATTCACTGTTAAAAATAACTGTCATTTGACAGGAAGTCGGCAATTTCGTTTACTACTTAAAAGACTCATTTCTCTGCTATTATACAGTGACAGCTTTCAGTCGTCAGGTAAAATAGATGTAAAAAAAAGTGCTGTCAAAATGTACAATGCACAACATTTGTTTCAAATGTCACCAATATTTAAATAAATTTCAATGTGACAAGAAAAGCTGCATAGAGACCAAGATATTTAGTTAAATAGAAAAAAGACAAACAAAAGACATAAAGGACAGTCTTACACAATACAATTAGGATTTGTAGAAAAAAAAAAATCTAAATAACAAGGCGACATGTAAAGAGCAGGCGTTTTGTCCCATACTTCTCTTCAACATAAATACAAAGACAGAAACAAGATGGGAAAAAAAAGTAGAAGTAAATTTTAGGTTGAAATCAACTGCTTCCTTCTACTTGACGTTACAGCTGCGATATTCAATTTGGGATGACAATACAAACAGGTAAGTGCTTTTTTATCATTCAGTCATTACCTAAGTAGGTTAGGGGGCTAACGGGGGCTCCGGGGCCCAACAGCTCAACTGAAAAGAGCTGAAACATTTTCTTTGAAACGTCATTAATGTGCAGATTGGACAGCGAGAGTGAAAAGGTGAAGGAATGTTTGGATCCGAGGTTTCACTCTCCCCACTCACCACCCCGCCCAAAATATATCAACCGAAACAGACCACGGAGGTTTTTGTAGAGGTGAGCGTGATGGTACGCGACGTACAAACATCTAGTCATAAAAACAATGTTCACAGTATGCGTGGGTAAAAAAAGAAAGAAAGAAATACTGACAAGGGTGACCAATCAGAAACTGGCTTCATGTTTTTGTATGGTGACCTTTGCAGAAAGGTCACGGGGATTCACGGGTGAATAGAATAAACCGTCTGATTCGGACTCATTCGAATCACGCGGTTTTACAAAACACTGCAATGACACGTGGGTTATTCCTTTTCCTACAAAGCTTACGGTGCGATAAAAATATACATGCTGTCAAATAATTCAATAAGAACTATTTACATGTACAGTGGGGGATATTGATCGTGATGCTGTTATTTGGAATCCTAATGTTTCAAAACGATGTCTCGGTGCAGAAATCGCTCGTTTACTGAGTTCAGCTAAACTACATTCATTGAACTGGTTCAACAAACAGCTCTCGGAGAACACACATCGCAGGCTGCGTACACAGTTCTCTCACGTTGAGGTTTGTTCATTGAAGCTATACTGTCAAATAAATAGATGCCCGACACACGTGGAACGAGTTGTGGGTCACTAAAACCACTTTGTTCCTTTAACAAATTCAACTTCAACACAAAGAATTCGAGGTGGCCTCACGATCTGCCTACACACCGAGAACCTAAAACAGAGAAGACACGGAGCAACGGTTTTATTTTTGTACGCTTTTTTTTTTTTTCTATCTCTTTCTCTCTCTCTCAATCTCTTCTTATTAAAAGTTACATCAAACGTCACTACAGTACATATGGAGACACAGAACTGAAACATTAGACCTGATCTGAAGGCACGTGGCTGGGAAGGAGGAGGAAGAGGAGGCTGAGGTCGGGCGCTGAGCGGAGCGGAGGCTACTTGAGCAGGGCGCGGTAGAGGAGGAGGGAGTGGGCAGTCTCTCTCTCCTGCTCCATGTAGAAAATGATGTCCCTGAGGTTGACGCGGGTGATGCGTTGCCGCGCGTACTGCCGAGATGAGGTGGACGGGCTGGAGGAGCTGGCCGGGGAGCCCGCCGAGCTGCCTGAAACCTGGAGAGAAGGGAGGGGTCAAAACGGTGAGAAAGGGGGGGTACTTCACCCTGGTTCCTTAAGATCTCAGTCAAGTTGATAGTTTTCAATGAGTAATATGGCCTTTAAATATAGCATGACAACCTATATTCAGTTTCCAACAGCACAGCCTGGTAGCTATCGTGAACGGTGATGTTCAATGGCTGAGCTCACCAACAGAAAAGGCCCCGCTTCTAAAAACTGAAACCGCACCAACAAAAAGTCCAAGGGAAAAGACTTAAAACTGGTTGACAAGACATCTGACGTTCAGAGCAGTGACACGGCAGTGGAAAGTCCTCCTCCATTTTGAAAAAATTGCATCATGGTTTTTTTATCAACAAATATTACAAGAGTTGACAACATTTCTAGCCATGCATAATGGGACAAAGCAACAATTAGCCGTGCCAGCGGCAGAACAACATTGGATGGATCGCCATGAAATCTTGTAGAAACGTTCGGGTTCCCCAGAGGATAAATCAGAATTACCTTGCTGATCGGCTGACTTTTTCTCTAGCTCCACCATGGGTTTGAACTCTGCGTTCCAGTACCCATACCACGATATTTAGTGCGCCCCAATACATAGTATGTTACATTACATTACAGTCATTTAGCAGACGCTTTTATCCAAAGCGACTTACAATTCAGATCAGATTCTATCACATTTCTACACCGTAGGCACAGCTACGGGAGCAATTTTGGGGTTAAGTGTCTTGCTCAAGGACACATCGACATGCGACTAGCAGAGCCGGAGATCGAACCGCCGACCCTCTGATTGAAAGACGGCCCTGCTATCCACTTAGCCACAGTCTCGCCACATGTCAATTAATGTATGCCAAAAATACCAGGATGTCCTACTGCATCCAGTCGCATTCTGCAGTATGCAAGCCAGTATGCTTTTCTGGCTATTCGGACCCACAATCCTTTGCGCAGTTCAAGGTGCAATGTTATGAGAAAGTAGTACGTCCCGATGGAATGCATACTGCATGTAACAGTATGTACTTAGTAAAGGCAGCTGTGATGTGATTTTTGCCAAATTTAGACAGACATTCATGTTCCCCTGAGTATGTACTGTAATAAGTTTGAAGGTTCATCTAGCGCCACCATCAGGTCAGATTTTTTATTTGATTTTAAAAAAATACCTGCAAAACTGTGTGCTAATTATCATGTTAGCATGCTAACAAGCAAAACTAAGGTGGTGAGCAAGGAAATTGTACAAAACATTGCACCTGCTTATCATCAGTATGTTAGCACCGCCACTTTGAGCATGTTAGCATGCTGATGTTAGAATGTAGCCCAAGTGTACCGACTTCATTGAGGAAGTCCCTTTATGTATCAAACTTTCTGTGAGTTTTTAGGTGAGCTGAAAATGAAATGATTGTGCTCTGGGTTTGGGTTTCATTAACTTTACTTTCTCCTTCACAGATGTGTGTTTGTCTCTTTCAGGCAATTGGTCCTCACTTTGCCATGAGTGAACGAAAAAAGTCTTTGAGGCGCAGTCGAGGGGATAGTTTCCCTGATTAAACATAGTAACTGTTCAGAAAATAAGCAACGCTATGTTTCCCATTTCTCATAAGTGAAGTAATCGCTGAATGGCTAACACATTGACGGTATCAATGGTAAGGAATGCAAAGTATACACCTCCAATAAAGAAAAGTAATCCCTCTTGCAGAGCCTGAATGAGATCAAACAGATATACTAACGACGTCCAGATCTTTAGCTTCACGTTGGGAGAATTATTTTTTTTGGTCAACTAGCTGAACACGAGGCAGAGAAAAACATTGGCGACGCGCTCAGGGAAACTTACATTTTTACTTAAGCGTGTCCTTTGGCTCTTTACATCGCCCTGAATATGAACACATTCCCCCTTCTAAAGGAGCAACGCTGCTGACACGGAGCCCTCGTTGTTTGTATTTGATCCAGGAAAAATGAGAACGACCCTGTATACAGAGGGCCGATACAAATCAAGGGATGCATTTACATTTGGAAATGAGAAACACTGGGACACGAACCCAGCAAGTGCCCACTCGAGCCCAGGCAGAGAGAAATAAGACAGACGTTTCAGTCGGGAACACCCTCTCACAATTACCTTGATTGCAGCAGTCTGTAAACACACGGCACAGACAGGCCTTAATTGCAAACATATGATGGGCATGGGTTTACAAGAACCAAGCCAAAGTCCCTCCAGCACCGCCCTCCCCCCATGGGCTTGTCTTTGTGTGCACTTGTATGACAGTGTTTGGTTTGGTTTGGTTTCCCTCAGTACACTCTCTGACCCCTGGAGGCTGGATGATGAGTGAAGGTTGCCAGGCCGCCCAGTTTACCTCAACCACATCAGGGCCCAGTCTGGCCATCAGAGCGCTCGGGCTGGCCAGTTGGCGAACTGACGCCCCCTGTTTTTGCCTCTCACACGTAGCTGCTGCTTGTGTTAGCATTAGCGAGACTCTGTAGCAACGGCGACACATGGGCCAACCGATAGATGTGCTGTATTCACAGTTCGAAAAGGTATTTAGGGCTTACGAATGGTAACATTAACAGCGATAAGCAGCTTTGGCGTAGTAGAGCCGCTAGACGAGCTACAACACAGGTACCCAGACAATGACTCCACCTAAGGGCCATGAATATGCTTCTAGTCACAGTCAAAGGTCCATCAGACTCCCTGTATTTCTAGTGGGGACACGGGGAGTCTGAGGCATTATCTTACGGTAACTTTTGGTGAAATTAAGAGACATCTACAGACGCAAATAGACGAAGTAGTACAATAAACATCTGAATGTGTATTTTGGATGTTTTTTCCCACGAGTCAGAAAGACGACATGTTATGGAAGCAAAATTGTCCAAAAATTGTCCTCAAAATTGCCCAGTACATGAAAAAGAAAAAGTTTTTGCCTGTTGTGTCTCACCTTAACTGATGATATTTCTGCATTTTGCTGAAGTAAAACTTACATTGCAGGACTTACTGGAGTATTTCTAGATTTTGGTATTGCTACTTTTGCTAATGTCAAGAATCTAAATATATAAGTATGCCTATAAGTTGTGAGCGGTACAACCCATAGTGAAAACACAATTGATTTTCCTATACACTGTAGTTAATAAACTATAGCCTTAGTCGTTCTATGCAGGGAAGCAAGAAATGTGTACGCATGGAAATAAAAAAAAGGCAATAAAGAAATGTAGTCCTTTCTATCAGGTGGAAGTACCTCCAGTTAATCAGACCAACCAGTCCAGTCAGAGCTCTGGGGATATGTCAAATATATATATATATATATATATATATATATATATATATATATATATATATATATATATATATGTGAATACATATTCATTATGGAAATGCAACTGAAATGCAAAGCCGTTTTTGTGTGTAGTAATGTAGTAACTAAAAGATATGTTACTAGCAGAATCCGGAAACATATTTCAACAAAAAGGGTTACAGAATATGTTGGGAATGTGTGGAGATCGTCATGTTGGGAATGTGTGGAGATCGTCATGGGCTGATGTCAGATTCCAGGCCTGAATTATCCTCCCAGTCCGACACTGGTCTCTGGTCAGTAATGCTGAGATGCTGGGAGGGCCGCGGGTTGAAGCAACGCGAGCTCCCCCTCCCCCACCACCACCACCAGACCCTCACTTTGGGGAGCGACCCCAGCCTAATCAGGCCAATCATGGCCGACCACATGTGAAAGATGGGCCTGCCTGCTGCCATGCCAATTACTGCCACTCACGAGCGAGCCTGGCGACGGGGCCACAGATTTCACCAATCAAAGCCATCCATCCACCTGGACGGATGGGCAGCAGTAGCCACGGGCGGTCGGTGCTGGGGTGGTGCTGCAGACTCGGTGGTTTATGGTGGGTGGGTGGGGGGTGGTGTAGACAGTGAGCATAGCCAGATATCGCCGTTTCAGGTAGTGTGCCATGGCTCCCAGAATGCCTCATTCCCTTCAGGGACAGCGGCAGCCCTCAGTGATCCAAATACAGGCGGAAAGGTCAGCGCTCGTCCAGGAATTCACTCAGCGCGGCCTCTCCTCTCCGTCTTTATATGCCCTCCATATGCCAGCAACCCCAACACGGATATGTTGTTGTATCGTATCTATGGAGACCGATGCCTCTCGCCAGCACACGCAGGAGATCGTGTTGAGGAAGAGGAGGAGGAGCGGGGATGGGAGGGGTGAAACATCGACGCTGAACAAAGCAGATGGCTGAGTGTCAGTTAAAAGGGAAAAGGGAGACATCAACAACCGTGCTTTCCCCGTCGCCAGCAATTACACAGCAATTGTGTCTGAAATCCGATGAGAAACAAAATGGCAGGCTTTGTAAGGTCACAGTGGATGAAGAGGGAAAAAAGTGGGAAGAGGAGAGAAAAAGCAGGAGAGCAGAGGCATGGAGAGAGGGAGAGAGAGAGAGAGAGAGAGAGAGAGAGAGAGAGAGAGAGAGAGAGAGAAACTGAAAGTCTCAGAATCTGCTTGGCCAAGAAAGATCCATGAGGCAAAAAACAGCATCTGTCATTTTATCTGTGATGGGCGCTTGGAGGCATTATGTCATATGACATATCCATCGTACAGAACGCGCAGGGATACTTCGATACATCTCTTCAGACATTTGACTTGTTTGGAGCAGGGGACAGAGAGAAAAACAGAGAGAGAGAGCAGTGGATAGAACCCGAGGAGAGGAAGAGGAAGAAGAAGAGGAGAGGAGTAATAAGGCCTCTTTACGGGCTCTGGTCTTCAGCCACATTCTGTTGACATACATGACAACATGCCAATGGGCCAGACACATTACTTTACACTATTTACCACACATACACACACACAAACTACTGGAATTTCAATAATTACGATTAATAATGGTGATTTATAGATGCTCCAACCATGTGTTAAGAGGACTGGAGTCATAATATAAGCAGCTTCAATAATTATTACTGTAGTTATTAAAATAGTTATATATAAATGTTACCACTGCTTGCATTTGAATTTGCTTGAATT